ACCCTTTTGTGATTTAAACTGTACCTGAAGAAAACACAATGTTTGCTTTTTGGTTCTAACTTAGACGTAGTGTAAGGCTTCAGCCAAGGAAAGCAAGTATACTCTAGAGCTTTCTTGAATAAGGATTCCTATGGAGATACATTTATGGAAGAAGGCATTTTGTTGATGAGGTAAATTGCTGTGGAGAATGCATGAACCCAATATTGATGTGGAACTTTAGAGACTGTCAAGAGAGTACAGGCAATTTCAACAAGGTGTCTATGCTTACGCTCAACACACCCATTTTGCTCTTGAGTGTGAGGGCAGCTGAGTTAATGTGTAATACCATGTTCAATTAAGAACTGAGAAAACTTGGAGCTAAAGAATTCACCACCGGAATCTGAACGAATAGAAATAATTTTGACACCCAACTTATTTTCAATAAGAGACTTGAATTGAACAAATGTAGAAAGAACATCAGACTTGAACTTCAGAGGATAAGGCCAAGAATACTTTGTATAGTCATCAACAATTATCACATAGTATTGAAAACCATGTACAGAGGAAATAGGAGCTAGTCCCCAGACATCCATGTGAAGAAGCTCTAATGGCTTGCTTATAGTACAAGAACCAGAAGCAAAAGGAAGCTTAGAACTTTTGCTTATAGCACAATTTGAACAGAAAGTGTAATTCATAGTACGAGACGTAGAAATACATGAAGTAGAGACCAATTTATTTAAAATTTTGGTAGAGGGATGACCAAGTCTCTTGTGCCAAAGATCCCAAAAAACCGTTGTAGTAGCAACAAACAAGTGTTGAGAACCAGCAGCAGGAGACGATGCATGAAAAAGGTAGAAGCCATCACGAACTGGTCCACTAAAAAGCATATTCCCCGAAGAAATATCTTTCATAGTGAAGTGAAAAGGATAACGATGCATGGAACACCAGTTGTCAAGAAGAAATTGATTCGCATATAACAAATTTTGCTTTAAATCAGGCACATAAAGAACATTTTTCAACTGAAAACAATGGTGATGAGTATTTAAAGAAGAACCAGAGTGGTGAATGGGCAAACCTTTGCCATCACCAATGTAGACCTGTTCAGGACCATGATAAGTCTCAGGATTTTGCAGATTGGTGTAGTTATTGGTCATGCATGAACTAGTGCCAGAATCAACAAGCCAAGTTAGAGCAGATGAAGTAGAACTAGTGTGAGCAAGCATAGCAGAGTGAGATGAAGATCCAGTGTAGCTGGGATTCATGCGTTGTGGACAATCAAAGGCTTCATGATCATAATGACGGCATATTTGGCAAGGAATGCGTTTGCCAGAGAAAGAACGATCACCACCAGAAGAACGTTGATTATTCGGCCGATAATTGTTGTGTTGAAAATTGCCTCTGAAATTGCCCTTGCCTTGAAAATTTCTAGGGTTTGAAGAACTGCCACGATTTTGAGAGTAATTAGAATAACGACGTTGAGAGAAATTCTGTGAAGAATGAGCCTGAGTAGTGTAAGCCTGAGGAGCCATAGATGGTGTAGGAAGAAGACCCGTAGAAGAATTAAATGCCTGGAAATAAGCAGTGAGAGGCAATTTCTTGCGATTATTCAACTGAATTTCTTTGCTCAAAAGAAGGCCATGCCATTCATCAATGGTAGTCGACCCGATGCGAAATTAAACAGCATCAACAAAGAATCATACTTTGATGGCAGTCCATGAAGTGTGACAGAAATGAGCTCAGAATCAGCCACCAGAACTCCAGCACTCACAAGAGCATTTGCAATTTCCTCAATTTGTTGGAGAAATTGAGCTATTGTAGATTCACATTTTGTAATGTTACGCAGGCGTGATCGAAGATCATGAATGTGAGATTGAGAAGCAGCAGCCACTCGTGACTCCAATTTCGCCCAAACTTTGAGACAAGAATTAACTCAAACAGTGTAAGGAATTAGGGTTTCAGACAGTGTAGAATTGAGCCAGATGAGAATGTTTTGATCGCTCTAATACCAAGAAACATACTCAGGATTGATGAGAGAAGTGCGATTGCCAGAATCATCCAATAACATTTGAGGCGGCGGAGGTGTTGGGCCATCAACAATGCCGGTGAGATTGTAGCGGTGAAAAATAGGAGCAAACAAAGCGCTCCAGGTGAGGTAATTGGTAGTGATGAGCTTAATTGGCACCATAGATCCAATATTCTGAATTATGATGGAGGAGGCCACCGAATGAGTGATAGTGACAGAGGAGTTCAACGGAGGCGGATGAACATGAGTAGTAGAGTCAGAAGAAGAATCAGGAGCCGCCATTGATGCTCAAGGCTAGGGTTTGGGAGATCGAGATGGCGATCGCAATCAGAAAGAGGAAAGAAGAAAGGTCGCTGGCGATGAAGCGTGTTTGGATCAGGTCGTGAGACAGAAGGCGGTTGATACCATATTGAGAAATAATCTTTTCATTAATTCTTTAAATAAAGTTACAACCTGTATATATACAAGTATAACAACCAATGAAAGTAGCACCACTACATTCTAACTAACAGAACTAACTATCCAATATCTAAGTATGATCTTTTATATTTGCATTTACATTTATACCCTTAATACCTTCCTCCCAAAATGTTGATCCATGATTAAGATCGAGGTGCTCTTAATCTTATTATACAACAATAAGAACAACAACAAAAATAAAATTTTATTCTACTAAATGGCGTCGGCTGTATGAACACTAGAACATCACTACGCTGAGTTTTGTGCCAAATCTTCCACTCTTAATCTTAGTATAATGAATTCAAATTTCCAATGCTTCTTTTAACATTACTTTAAAAACAAGGGTAAATTACATAGTAGCCCCTCAGGTTTAAGGTCTATTACAACCCCATACAACAACTTTAAAACATTTCACTTTCATACATCAAGTACCATTTTATTTCAAAATAACACCTCCGTTATATTTTCCATCCACTAATCTGTTAAATGCTGATGTGGCTGCCACATTTGTGCTGATGTGGCTGCCATGTGGAAAAATAATAATTTTTTATACATTAAAAATATTATAATATTAACCTTATTAAAAAAAAAAAAACCCATTAAAAGTCATCGTCTTCATCTCCACCCAACTTCATATCCTTCTTTCTCCTTCTCCAGCCCACCCTTTCCGTACTATCTTTCTTCTCTTGGCCTCCCCCCCCCCACCCCACCCAAAACCCTAAAAAACCCAACTGTAGGAGAAAGAGCCCCTCCTTCAATCTTCATCTTCCTTCCCCAAACCCAGTCTTACACCGACCCATCAACCACCACCACGCCGGAGTAATCTCGTCCCTCATCTTCCTCGCTGCCCAGACATCAACCTCTGCCCAACCCTCATCTTCCTCGCTTCCGGTGTAATCCTGTTAACCACACCACGTCGTCGGCTGCAACATTTCTCCTCTCCCGCACAAAAATCTCATCTCTCTTTCGCTTATACCAAATTAAGATCCACAAACCAAGACGACCTACTCAACCTTCTATCTCACAAAATTGAAAAATCTCATATGTTTTCTTTTCTTACTTGGGCTTATTGATGTATTTTTGTTGGTTTATTGGGTTTGGTTTGCATCTGAAAACAAATTAAAATGTGGGCAGAGGTCGAAGAGGCGGAGCTGGTCAAGGGAAGCAGGGGAGTCGAGTAGCTCCTAGAGAAGAAGAGAGATGCGAGTGAGGTGGAGACGCCGGAGATGAGAGTGAGGGGTGGGCGAAGGCCAAGAGAAGAGAGGGAGTAAGGAAAGGGTGGGCTGGAGAAGAATGATATGAAGTTGGGAGGCTCTGGAGGGAGAAGGAAGAATATGAAGTTCGAACCACCCCCTTCCCATCATCTTTAATAGATTTCAACTTTAGCCATCAATTCATTTTCTGTAATCAACAGCGTGGCATCAAACGCAAACCCATCCAAAAACCCATTTTCCCCACCATCTCTTTCTTAGGCAGATTTGGGATTTCAAAATTTTTTAATTTTGGGTTCGCAATAAAATACCAATTGGATTTTGGTTATAGGTTCGAACTCAAATACCCAGTTTGAATTCAAATACCCAACTAAATCAATTGGTGCGTGAGGGAGGGACGGATGAGCGGTGAAGGGATTTGGATTTGCTACGGCTCGACAAGAAGGCGTCGAGAAAGGGCGAGCAGCACATCTTGATTTTCAACCTTGGCGGCGAGACTTTTGATGTCGTGCTCGTCTGATAATCGATGAGGTAATTTTCGAGCTGAAGGCCAAAGCTGGAGACACCCATCCTTGGAGTTGTTGCCGGCGATAGGTGGTGGAAGGGTGCAAATGGGCGGGTGAAGGGGGGGTGGGGTTTTCCTTTTTGGGTTTCTGGTTCGTTGGGGGGGGGGGGGGAAGGGTTGCTTCCTGGGTTTCTAGTTGGGGGTGCACGGAGATGGGGTTTTTTTTGAGTTTTTTTTTTAGAAGATTCATGTTTTAAAAAAAATAATTTTAAAATTATTATTTTTGCCACGTGGCACACATTTGGCAGCCACGTGGCTCAAATGTGGTAGCCACGTCAGCACTTAACGGATTAATGGATGGAAAATGTAACGGAGGTACTATTTTGAAATAAAATAATACGTGAGGTATGAAAGTGAAATGTTTTAAAGATGTTGTATGAGATTGTAATAGACCTCAAACCTGAGGGGCTACTATGTAATTTACCCTAAAAACAATGATTGGCTATTGAAAGAAGGGAGCATGAACTCTTGTTGAATTGAACTAGTGCCCAATAACCATTGAACCCGTGTTCAAAAAAAAAAAATTAAAGAATTAAAATTTGAACCAACATCACCCTTCTCGATTTTTAATTGGGTTTTGAGGAGCTCCAACTCTTTTCTCAGCAGCAAGTCATTTTCTTACTTTAATCAATCATACATAAATGGTGTTCCGGTGGTGAAATATTAAAAAATAATAAATAATAAATTAAATAATAATAATAATTATCGAACTAAGTTTTTTGTTTTGAATTGTATTAACTATTAAACAGCAGAATTATACATCTTGTGTGCAATTTGGTTTTCCATTTGGATGACTTTTCTATGAGTTGACCCTCCTTCCTCCCTTAAGGATCCTTCAAATTGAGATTTTGCAGCTCTCCCATAACAATGAGTACCAGGACACAGCATGAAGCATCCTCCTCATCGAAACGTTGGACGCACGACGTGTTCTTGAGCTTCAGAGGCGACGACACACGCAACGGTTTCACAGGCCACCTCTACATGACACTGAAAGAGGCTGGAGTCGACGCTTTCATTGACAACCAGCTAAGAAGAGGGGAAGAAATAACAACCGAACTGGTTCAGGCAATCCGAGGGTCTAGGATTTCTGTCATCGTCTTCTCAAAGAGATATGCAGATTCAAGCTGGTGTCTTCAGGAGCTTGTGGAGATCATGGACTGTAGGAGAAGACTTGGACAAATAGTCTTGCCAGTATTCTACGATGTCGATCCTTCACATGTCAGGAAACAGACTAGTGGTAGTTTTGCACAAGCATTTCAGAAACACGAAGAAAGCTTTCATCAAGATACCGATAAGGTAGCGAGGTGGAGAGCTGCTCTTACGGAAGCTTCAAATTTGTCCGGTTGGGATCTCATAAACACTGCAAATGGGTAATAATTCTTAGCTTATCAATCTTCTTTTACTGCCAGATAATAAAACTTTATATAAAATTTGATTCCTTAGTTCAAGATCCATCATTTTGATTTATAAAACCATTCGCCTCTAGTTTCAGTATACCTTGAACTTTACAAGTTATCCAATCCAGTCTAATCCTAAGAATCAAGCGATCGAGGTGCTACCTTTACTAAAATCTTGTTTTTCTCTAAGCAATCTGTAGCCAGAATGTGTACTGCATAGCAAGTCTCAGTTGCGCTTTTAAATCTAATTGACAGGAATGAGGCAGAGCTTATCAGAAAAATTATTGGCGAAATCACTAAGCAACTCGATAGCAAATACTTAAGTGTAGCCGTCTACCAAGTTGGAATAGATTCTCGGGTGAAAGAGATTAACAGCTTAGATGGGGGATCATACGGTGTTCAAATGGTCGGAATTTGGGGTATGGGCGGAATGGGGAAAACATCAGTTGCAAAAGCCATCTATAACAAGTTCTACCATAGCTTTCATTACAAAAGTTTCCTTGCAAATGTTAGGGAAACTGCAAAGGAACCGAATGGCATGACGAATTTGCAAGAAAAGCTTCTTTCTGATATCTTCAAACCAACCAAGGTGGAGGTTGGTGATGTTCATAGAGGTATTAATGTGATAAAAGAAAAACTTCGAAGCAGGGCGGTACTGGTCATAATTGACGATGTAGATCATGTGGACCAACTAAATGCTTTAGCTGTAGCCCGTGACTCCTTTGGTCGAGGAAGTAAAATTTTTATTACAACAAGAGATCGACACCTACTAGAGCAAGTTGAAGTTAATATAATATATCTGGCTCGAAAAATGAAGGAAGAAGAAGCTCTTGAGCTCTTTAGTTGGCATGCTTTCCGAAATCGTTGTCCTAATGAAGAATATGTTGAACTGACAAGAAGTGTTCTTGGTTACTGTGGAGGCTTGCCGCTTGCTCTTGAAGTTTTAGGGTCGTTTCTGTTTAAAAGAAGCATAAGAGATTGGACAAGCACATTGAAGAAGTTGGAAAAAATTCCTCGTTTCGAAATTCAAGAAAAGCTTAAAATAAGCTTTGATGCTCTAAGTGATGAGGATGAGAGGGAAATATTCCTTGATATATCTTGTTTCTTCATAGGAATGGACAAGAACTATGTCACAAGGATCTTGGATGGTTGTGGGTTTTTTGCAGAAATCGGAATTAGTGTCCTCCTTCAACGATGCCTTGTAACTGTCGATGAGAAAAACAAGCTCGTGATGCATGATCTACTTCGAGACATGGGCAGAGAAATCGTGCGTGCAAAATTTCCAAACCACCCTGGCAATTGTAGTAGATTGTGGCGCCAAGAAGACGCAATAGGTGTACTGACAGACAAATCTGTAAGTACTCAGCTTCCTAATCAAAATAATTCAATGTTAATTCCATGTAATACAAGAGAACAACAACTGCAGATGTGTGGATATAAATCAATTTTTTTTACATGCACTAACCTGTTCGTTATTCACTTTTGTTCATAGGGAACGGAAGATATTGAAGGACTCGCCCTAAATTTGCTAAGATCAGACAAAACTAGTTTCAGTATGAAAGCGTTTAGAAAGATGAAGAGGCTAAGATTGCTCCAACTTAATTGTGTACATCTCACTGGAGACTACAAACATCTTTCCGCGAAGTTAAGATGGCTCTGCTGGCGAGGATTCCCTCTAAAGTTCATACCAAAAGAAGCATTAAATCAATTAAGAAGCCTAGTTTCTATCGACCTACGGTATAGCAATCTCATACAGTTTTGGAAGCATTCTATGGTATACTATCATAACCTTAACCAAGCCATTGATTGTTCCTTCGAATTTTACACCTAGCCACTCTTCCTCTTTTCTTTTTGATTTCAGGTGGCTTAGATTGAACTTTTAATAGATGAAAAAAAAGAAACTTTTTGACAGATGACGAGCAAGTTATCTATTTTGAATTTTGTTTTCTTTTGGGTTTGTCTTGCAGTTGCTCGAGAAGTTGAAGATTCTGAATCTCAGCCATTCGTACTTCCTAAAACAATCGCCAAACTTCTCAAAACTGCCAAATCTTGAGTATTTGATACTCAAGGGCTGTAAGAGCTTGCTGGAGATTCACCACTCCGTAGGATGTCTTGAAAGACTTGCCTTGGTAAATCTCAAAGACTGCATAATGCTCAAGGATCTTCCAAAGAGTTTCTATAAGTTGAAACACGTTGAAACTCTTGTTCTTTCTGGCTGTTCAAGATTTCAAAACTTGGTTGGGGATATAGGAGAGATGGTATCATTGACAACTCTTCTTATAGATAACACAGCCATAGAAGAATTACCATATTCTTCCATAGCACGGTTGAAGAACCTGACACGTTTATCTCTATGCGGTCTGAAACTTATAGAACCCAACCCTTCCGTTTGGCCTTTGGTATTGACAAGAGAATATCCTCCTGAATTACATTGCTCAATTTCTTCCGAAGATTTCAGGACTATCGACATGGATAGCAACGAATTTTATATCCTTCCGAGGAATCATAAGCAAGACAACGAGCGAAGATGGTGTCATTTCCCCCCCTGGAAATGATATTGCCAAGTGGTTCACAAATGTCGACAATGAGGGTGATCGAGTCTGTTTCCAAGTGCCTCAAACCACTGGTTCTTACTTAAAATCGTTGACTGTGTGCACCGTTTATTCTTCATCATTACACAAGGACGCACCTCTTAATCATTTTGCTATATTTATTACGAATCATACCAAGATCATCAGCTTCGTTGTCCGGCCAATGGATCCCTACACAATAACTTCAAATGAAGTCATTTGGCAAGGACATTTATCAAACAAGGAGCTCAGCTTGGAAAGGGGAGACTCCATTGAAGTTTATATTGTGATGGGATCTGGTTTCAGGGTGAAGAAAACTGGGGTACATCTCGTATGGGATCCCGAGTTGATCAACGAAAATGTGATTGAGTTCGAGTCTATCCCATATGCTTATTTTCGTAGTGATGTGGAGTATGAGGCAGGACCGAGTCATGCCCCATGAGATGAGGATCGATCACCCGAGGACTTGAGGTACGTATGATGATCACCCCACTATTCAAAGGAGTACAGATGAACAATTGGAGCAGGGAAACAGCGATGAAGCTATGCGGATAGTGAGGAGCTTTATACTTCAAGTTGGAGAACAGTTTGGACTACCACTTAATTTTATGTTTTTATTTTACAGATGATTTTCTGAGCTAAGGAAAGACTTGAATTCATATAGACAACGTCGCTTAATGCGATAGACTTTGTTGTTATTGTTGTAGTAGTATTTTACAGCTGTTTTTCTCGTCTACAAAACATTTTGCTTTCCACAATCAGTGGTGGGGTTTGTAAGAAATATTTGGTGATGCAATAGAGAGAGTCCAAAGTTTGTTTGGCTGCATCCACCAACTTGAAAGGGAATAAGTCATAGTGTGGCTTCATGTTTTAAACTTATGGGTGGGTGAACATTGATTTGGTCATAACCAAGTTTAGGATCATGTTTGTTGCTTAGTGTTACAATTTAAAGGTAACTTTTTCTGCATGTAAGTAAAAGTTTATAAGTTTTACTTTTGTAAATGGCGAGATTGATGCCAAATTATTATGTCAAACTAAATTACCATGCATAGACTTTCAGTTTGATTCTAAACTAAATTATCGATTAACTTGATTATTGGCATTTAAAAAAATGTTTTTGTTTGATTCTAAACTAAATTATCAATTAACCTGATTATTGGTATTTTAAAAATGTTATTATGCACTTTTGCGTAAACAACTAATATTTGTTTTCTTAATAAAGAAAGAGTTTTTGTTTTTTACCATCGTTTGTTAAAAAAAATAATAATAATTCACAGCAGGGTTTTGAACTTGAATGCCTAAAGAAGAACATTACTCTAACAACTAGGTTAAATCTAAATTATTAAAAAGGTTAACTTTTCTATAATGCATTTCTTTCTTATCATTGACAAATTCTTCTAAAGACTGAGACAACATGTGTGTGTGTGGGGAAAGAGAGAGAGAGAGAGAGAGAGAGAGAGAGAGAGAGTTCCTCAATGCAGGGCAGTTTATGGCAAAGCATGGAAAGAAAAAATAAGTGGCTCAAGAATACAATAATAATACAAATAAAAGGCTTTTTGTTCAATAAATAAAAATACTATGAAAAGGAAAAAAGATTGGAAGAAAAAGCAATTTAAAGAGTACACACATTGGATGCCAATTTTACCCCAAAAAAATACAAAAATACAAAAGAGCACAATGGATTTGGCATCACGAATATTCCAATGCTCTTATGAGCGTCCTCTTTCTAGAGAAATTTTTTAATGTGCTGAAAATGCGGCTCAATATACTAAGTGTAATAATACAATTTGTTGGAAGTAATACAATTGGTTAGAAATTTGAAAAAAAATTCAATTAATTGTATTATGACAGTTGGTGTGTCCCGTATTTTTGACACACTGAAAACTATATCCCCTTCCTACCTATGACATAGACATTTATGCTATTCTTCCTAAAGAAAATAGAAAATATTGCATGTGGTCCAATGTTTTAGTCGAAAGGGTGTTGAGTTTATATCCATGCATCCCGCGTTCAATACTCTTTCTCCCCTAAACTATTGTAATAATTTCGAATATTCCCTGCTTCCTAATAATAGTAAATATTGAGTTTATATCCATGAAGAAAGTTGTGGTGCCACCATAAAACCAACTAGCAATATGGGGAGTAACCCAATCTCTTATAAACCTATGCAAGATCCCTTTATTGAGAAATAATCTTTTCATTAATTCTTTAAATAAAGTTACAACTTGTATATACAAGTATAACAACCAATGAAAGTAGCACCATTACATTCTAAATAACAGAACTAACTATCCAATATCTATCCAATATCTAAGTAGGATCTTTTATATCTGCATTTACATTTATACCCTCAATATCTAAGTAGGATCTTTTATTCTTTTATATCTATTTTGAATTTTACACCTAGCCACTCTTCCTCTTTTCTTTTTGATTTCAGGTGGCTTAGATTGAACTTTTAATAGATGAAAAAAAAGAAACTTTTTGACAGATGACGAGCAAGTTATCTATTTTGAATTTTGTTTTCTTTTGGGTTTGTCTTGCAGTTGCTCGAGAAGTTGAAGATTCTGAATTTCAGCCATTCGTACTTCCTAAAACAATCGCCAAACTTCTCAAAACTGCGAAATCTTGAGTATTTGATACTCAAGGGCTGTAAGAGCTTGCTGGAGATTCACCACTCCGTAGGATGTCTTGAAAGACTTGCCTTGGTAAATCTCAAAGACTGCATAATGCTCAAGGATCTTCCAAAGAGTTTCTATAAGTTGAAACACGTTGAAACTCTTGTTCTTTCTGGCTGTTCAAGATTTCAAAACTTGGTTGGGGATATAGGAGAGATGGTATCATTGACAACTCTTCTTATAGATAACACAGCCATAGAAGAATTACCATATTCTTCCATAGCACGGTTGAAGAACCTGACACGTTTATCTCTATGCGGTCTGAAACTTATAGAACCCAACCCTTCCGTTTGGCCTTTGGTATTGACAAGAGAATATCCTCCTGAATTACATTGCTCAATTTCTTCCGAAGATTTCAGGACTATCGACATGGATAGCAACGAATTTTATATCCTTCCGAGGAATCATAAGCGCAAGACAACGAGCGAAGATGGTGTCATTTTCCCCCCTGGAAATGATATTGCCAAGTGGTTCACAAATGTCGACAATGAGGGTGATCGAGTCTGTTTCCAAGTGCCTCAAACCACCGGTTTTAACTTAAAATCGTTGACTGTGTGCACCGTTTATTCTTCATTATTACACAAGGCCGCACCTCTTAATCATTTTGCTATATTTATTACGAATCATACCAAGATCATCAGCTTCGTTGTCCGGCCAATGGATCCCTACACAATAACTTCAAATGAAGTCATTTGGCAAGGACATTTATCAAACAAGGAGCTCAGTTTGGAAAGGGGAGACTCCATTGAAGTTTATATTGTGATGGGATCTGGTTTCAGGGTGAAGAAAACGGGGGTACATCTCGTATGGGATCCCGAGTTGATCAACGAAAATGTGATTGAGTTTGAGTCTATCCCATATGCTTATTTTCGTAGTGATGTGGAGTATGAAGCAGGACCGAGCCATGTCTCATGAGATGAGAATCGACCACCGAGGAGTACAGATGAACAATTGGAGCAGGGAAACAAAGATGAAGCTATGCGGATAGAGAGGAGCTTTATACTTCAAGTTGGAGAACAGTTGACACTACCACTTAATTTTATTTTTTATTTTACAGCTGATTTTCTGAGCTAACGAAAGACTTGGATTCGTACAGCCGACATTGCTTAATGTGATAAGACTTTGTTGTTATTGTTGTAGTAGTATTTTACAGCTGATTTTCTCATCTACAAAACAATTTGCTTTCCACAATCAGTGGTGGGGTTTGTAGGAAATCTTTGGTGATGCAATAGAGAGAGTCCAAAGTTTATTTGGCTGCATCCACCAACTTGAAAGGGAATAAGTCATAGTGTGGCTTCATGTTTTAAACTTATGGGTGGGTGAACATTGATTTGGTCATAACCAAGTTTAGGATCATGTTTGATGCTTAGTATTAGGATAAGGTTTTTTTTTCGCCTCTAAGTAAAAGTTTTTCAGTTTTACTTTCGTAAATAGCGAGATTGATGCTAAATTATTATGTCAAACGAAATTATCATTCATAGACTTTCAGTTTGATTCTAAACTAAATTATGGATTTATAGTGGGTGAGATTATAACGTGGGTGGGGAAATAAAACAATGGGGTGGGTCTATTAACACGCAATATTTATTATTAAATGACTCATGTATCTTAACATGAAATGACTATTTAACCCTAAGAAATTAAAAAAAAAAATTGAATACACCCCACACAAAAATTATTTACTAATATGAAAATTTTCCTCTGTTTGTACGTTCTCACATAGATGTCTAAACCATAACCCTAAAATCTTAAAAACCCCTAATTCATAGAAACCCCCAAATTGATAGAAACCTAAACCCTAAAAAAAAAAAAATGTAAGAACTGAACCCATTATAATTTTGAAAAAAAATATGAAAAAATAAACAAGAGTTCTTGGCAGCTTTCTTTTAAATTTTTTACAGTAAAAAGAATTGAACCCATTATAATTTTCAAAAAGAAAAATGTCACCATGTCCTGTCATTCTTTTTTGGGTCAAAATTTTGTGGGATTGACTCTAAATGAGTAACAAAGAGGGTTGCAAATTGTGGATTTGTGCTCTCCCAGTAACATCAACCAACAATTGAATGCCATGTAGTCAACCTCATTAGCATTTACATGTTTAGCAAGAATCTTGAAATTTGGAGGTGTGGAGAGAATGAACAACGAGGGAATGTTGAATGTATGTGAAGAATGTGTATGTAGAAAGTGTAGGTGTATTAAGATAAATTTTGATTGAAAAATTTGTTTTTTCCACTTTTTTTTTTGAGGTCCTGCCAATTAAAGAGAGAAAAATAAATGAAATTTCAAATTTATATGAATAATACTTGCAGTCATTTCTTTACTTGCCATTAACTTATCTTTATCGTAGAATTTTCTCAATCAGAACTAATTAATTTCTTAATCTTGATTTGAAGATTATCCTTGCAAAAAATCATTTAAATAAGAGATCATTTGGTCATCCAAATGTATCAAATAAATGGACAATTCATTATTAATATGTTACTTGACACCCACACTAATGTTGATTTATTTGATACATTTGAATGAGTAAATGTTCTCTAATTTGAATGATTTTTTGTAAGGATGATCTTCAATAAAAGCAGTTCCAAGAATGAGCTCATCCGAAAAGGAAAAATGCAAGTATTATTAATTATCTATTTTCCCCACATAAATGAAACTTAAAAAATAATAATAATAATTTCAGGCAAAAATACAATTTAAATTAATGCACTGAATTCAACTCTCCATTTTCCCCACAAAAATACAACGATCTTATCTTAACAAGAAGAAAAAACGCAGGCCATTTCAATTGCATATGCACGCATGTTCTATGTCACATCCTAGTCTCAGCTCCGCCGTAGCGCAATATTATCCACTTTTTTTGTAAGGAAGATCTTCAATAAAAGCAGTTCCAAGAATGAGCTCATCCGAAAAGAAAAAATGCAAGTATTATTAATTATCTATTTTTCCCACATAAATGAAACTTAAAAAATAATAATAATAATTTCAGGAAAAAATACAATTTAAATTAATGCACTGAATTCAACTCTCCATTTTCCCCACAAAAATAGAACGATCTTATCTTAAAAAGAAGAAAAAACGCAGGCCATTTCAACTGCATCTGCACGCATGTTCTATGTCACATCCCAGTCTCAGCTCCGTCGTAGCGCAATATTATCCGCTTTGGTCCCCTAGTCACGTCCTCACAGTTTTGTTTTTGGGAATTCACACGAGAATTTCCCAGTGGGTCACCCATCCTAGGAATGCTCTCATCCAAACTCACTTAACTTTGAGTTCTGATGGAACCCGAAGCTAGTGAGTCCCTAAAAGGCCTCGTGCTATAGGGAGGGAAATATGTACATATAAGGCATAGAGGATCCTCACCCCCGGACGACGTGGGATCTAACATTCTACTGTTGCAGGGTTCATCTTACTGAAGAAACTTTACGTACACGAGGCAATGGAAGCGGTTACATGTTTACACCTAATCCCGACAATTTACACCACGCAATGCATGCTCTTCGTTGCTGTTGCTGGGTTCACCTACTCCCCCTATAAATACAGAACCGATCTTCCACTGTTCTACCATCCATCTCTTTGAGTTTTATCTTCCGTTGCATAATTTGTTGATTCTTTAATCTTCATGATGGGGTTCCTCCTCTCCAGAATCTTCAAAATGGAGCGTTCTCTGCAGCATCATTCTGGAAACGAAGCGGGCCGTTCTCATCATCTGAATCTTTCGAAAACACCCAATTCTCTTCCTTGTGAACTGGGTTGTGAAGAATAACGCCCCCCTTTGCCAATGCTAATGAAGTCTGAAGATTTAATTAGCAACAACATGAATGATAAATCGAAAATAAGTAAGATTATGAGTCTAAGAGCATCAGTAAATTAATGGTGGAAGAGGCCGATCGAGCTCTGTCTATGAGAGCGTATGAGTTGTGTATATATATACTATTTACCCGGCATGACGAGTTGGCTGAGAGATTTCGGCATTGGGGTGTTTGGGAGGACGGAGTTCCAGTAGCGTTGAGGTGCATGTGAAGGTAAGGCAGCAGCATGGCTTCCCACCAGTGTGAGCTGCATGCAACATTTGAGATCTTATTAGTACGAGATATTGAAGAAAGTGATGAACTTGGTAAAATATGATGTTCAAACTAAAATCACGATTCCCGCTCTCATGGTCACTCGCTGTAAGATTTTTGATATCAAAGGTTGAGATTCAAACGTTAAAACCAAAGCTATATATCTTCAGTTTTACATCAAATATCAAATCTAAGGATGCATAAGAGCAACCATGCATTTCTCGGACAACAGGTAACCAAAAAAACTAAAGTTCCAGAGCTCACTTACAGTGAGAAAAACAAAGATTCTGGAGAGAAGGAACCCCATCATGAAGATTAAAGAATCAACAAATGTTGCAACGGAAGAGAAAACTCAGAGAGATGGATGGTAGAACTATAGCAGATCGGTTCTGTATTTATAGAGGGAGTAAGTGAACCCAGCAACAGCAACGTAGAGCATGCATTGCGTGGTGTAAGTTGTCGGGATTAGGCGTAAACATGTAGCCTCTTCCATTACCTCGTGTAAAGTTTCTTCAGTAAGATGAACCCAAGCAACTGCAACGTAGAACATGCATGCAGATGCAGTTGAAATGGCCTGAGCCTTTTCTTGTTTTTAAGATAAGGTCGTTGTATTTTTGTGGGGAAAATGGAGAGTTTAATTCGGTGCATTAATTTTAAGTTGTAATTTTGCCTGAAAATTTTCCTCTTTTTAAGTTCATTTATGTGTGTAAAACTGAACTAGAATGAATAATACTTGCATTCTTTCTGGGATAAACTCATTACTCTACCTGCAAATAACATATCTTCATCATAGAAATTTTATATTCGGAATTGTTTTCAATTGAAAATTATCTCTACAAAAAAGTCATTCAAATTGGAGAGCGTTTTGTCATTGAAATGTATTAATTAATGATGAAATGCCCATTTATTTGATACATTTGAATGACTAAACAATCTCTCGTTCAAATAATTTTTTTTGCAAGGATGAACACTTCAAATGAAGATTAAGTAATTGAGTGGTTTCGATTAAGAAATTTTTATAGTGAAGATACATTATTTGCAAGTAAGAAAATGAATGTAGGTATTACACATATAAATTTGGAATTTTATTTAGGATTTTTATCACAAATAGTCCATGAGATTGATCAAACTCATCATTTTGGTTCCTAACTTTCAAACTCAATTAATGTCTTTCCTGACATTCACTACCACACATCAATTTGGTCATTCCGTTTAGATTTCTTCAACTATTTTGTTAGTTTGTACATGGGGCCCACAAATCTAATAAAATAGTGACGAGTAGATTACACAAAATAAGGGGTTTTATTGCAAATGGTCTCTGACATTGATCCAACTCCTCTTTTTGGTCACTGAGTTTCAAAAATCGATAAATTTGTTTACTGACTTTCACTACCGCACATTAATTTAGTCTTTTGATTAAATTTCCGTGCGGTAGTGAATGTCAGGGATGACAATGATTTTTAAAAGTGAGAAATCAAAATGATAAGTTTGACCAATTTAAATGGAATGACCAAATTAATGTGCAGTGGTGAATGTCGGAAACGACATTAATTAATTTTTTTTTTTTGAGGTCCTACCAATTAAAGAGAGAAATTTATATGAATAATACCTACAGTCATTTCTCTACTTGCAAATAACATATCTTTATCGTAGAATTTTCTCAATCAGAACTATTTAATTTCTTAATCTTAATTTGAAGATTATCCTTGCAAAAAATCATTTAAATAAGAGATCATTTGGTCATCCAAATGTATCAAATAAAGACAAATCATTATTAATATGTTACTTGACACCCACATTACTGTTGGTTTATTTGATACATTTGAATGAGTAAATGCTCTCCAATTTGAA